AATTATCCAATTCACCCTGACCCCCAAGCATCGACTGCAGCAAAACTCAACAGCCGAGATGTCGCCATCTGAAAAATATAGATAGGCTACAGGTGAATGAGCACTTTATTTCACACAACATGTGCATTGTTTTATGATAATACTGGTGTAATCTTTGCTTGTCTTGGAAATGGATTACGGAAAGCACTAATTCATAGCCTATCCTGCACGTACATGTGCTAACTAAAGGCGGTAAGATATGTTTTTCATAATGATAATTCACAACATTAACTTACCGGGCTTATTTTCTACCGTTGATGAGAGCCTGCAGGAGAGCAGCATCAGAAGACCCACTGCTGGTGCTGCTACTGCTGCCGCCGGTACTGATTGGGACGGGGATTGGGATGGGGTAGTCCTCGGAGGACGAGGACGAGGACTGGGAACTGCCCCCACAGCTGGAGCAGCCGGAGGACCCACCGGACGAGCTAGAAGAGGACGACGGAGAGGAGTGATGGTGGTGGACGATGATTGTCTCTTCACTGCTGGAGCTGCTGTAGCTGCTGCTACTCTTGCTACTGCTGCTGTGGCGGCGATGGCGACGGTGACGGTGGTGGTGGTGATGATGGTGATGGTGGTGATGATGATGGTCATGTCGTCGACGATGTCTGCTGTGATGATCAGCAAATGCGACAGCGGCGATGACTGTAAAAAATAAATTTCTTGGATTCTTGGATGTAAACGATGAAAGACAAATATTCATTTTACTCCATGGTCTGAAGAGTGTTTTCAATGAAAGATAATCAAAGCATCGGCAATGTGAACATGTTCCTGTATAGTCTCTGGTGCTAAAGGAAGTAGTCTACAGTCAGGCTTTGCCATTTGTGAATTCCAGTGTTTGTGTAGCATCACGTAACATGTACACGCTCAGTCGTTGGCAGATGCTGTGATAGTGCCATGATGGGAATGTTGTGAAGAACAAAATATTGGCTGAACCTGTATCTCGAATACCACGATATCTCGAACCTTTGGGGTATAATCCTTCAGGTTCGAGAATGAGGACATTTCTTCAAAAAGAAATTTCTGCCTTCAATTTCCTTTCTGGCTCATTCATTGAACTATTACAGTTACACCGTTTTTTTATCACAAATAAACGTAACTTGAACAAGATATAATGTATCTTCACCTTGTTTGGGTGAGGTGAGGTGAAATTGGGTTTAACGTCGTGCTTGAGAATATTTCGCTCATATGACGACGTGCATGCGTGTGTATGTGTAGGTGCAGCTGCTTGTACTAGCCCAGACTTCAGCTGGTTTTATAGTGCTAACCCACCGAGATACCATGCCGCAGTGAAGCATGTATACCCCACTCAGATACATTATACTGACTCCGAGCCGACCAGTCCTTGTACCCATTACTGCTGAGCGCCAGGCAGGGACCCACAAGTACCATATTTTAACGTCTTTTTGGTATGACGTGGTCGGGGATCGAACCCGCGACCTTCCGCTCTCCGGGCGGACGCTCTAACTACTACACCACGGAGGCGGTCCACCTTGTTTGGGTTGGAGGGAAAAGGCTGGCACAAAGTCAGATTTAACTAAATACAGTATACTGCTTTTAAACTCTAGTTTCTTACTCTGTCAGTTAAATTAAGTTATGTACCTCAATTAACAAGTATATGGTTTATCTGGGTAATGACCCAAATATACTGTCTTCGTTTGACAAATCGAGCTAATCACAATGTCAAAAACGTGGTACAAAATAGGCACCGTACCATGATACAGACCCGTTAAATATTGAAATTATTCGATACTATGAAGAGACCTCAACTTGTGCTTCTGCTTTTAAAAGGATATGTATATGTATACACGTTGGAACATGTACAACTACATACAAACGACATACTCACCCACGATAAGAACAAGAATCAGAGTAATATGTCTCATCGTTGATGCTGAAGGTGTCCAGAGTTGCCGTCAGAGTTTGTGATCGTTATGACTAAGGTGAAAAGCCTTCTCGTATTTATATTTTTACATTTTTAACTGCTCACAGTTACTCATCACTACTTTCTTCATATTGTCTTTAATGTTTTCTTTTATCTTAACAATTTATGTACACAAGATAGTAATTATATATAATCTGTGATAATTCTGCAACACTGCCTGCAGTTTCGATGCCGTGTGGTGCCTTTGTCTCCACAAGATACTAATCTCCCGTAGACTGCTGATAGGGCAGGTCAAAAGCTATTGACCTGACGCCGTTTCTGACTGTGTGTCACTAGGTCATACTTGGTTAATGGGCCTGATTGGTAATAAACATATACACATTTGCCGGGATGTGGAACGTTCACTTTTAAGACTACCATCACACACCCTGACCAAACAGGATCAACGCGATACGTAGAGCAGTTCTTTTCGGGGTATGAGTGAGTGAGTGAGTTAGGTTTTACGCCGCCTTTGGCAAATATTCCAGCAATATCACGGCAGGGGACGCCAGAGATGGGCTTCATACATTGTGCCCATGCGGGGAATCGAACCCGGGTCTTCGGCGTCATAAGCGAACGGCTTAGCCAAATTTAACTTCACAAATTACAAACATCATCAAAACGTTACTCAGCTGAAAACATTCGTCGGGTCACTGCAAACTGAACGTCCGAAAACTGCCGTGATACCTGTGTCCAATCCATCCCCATCGAATGACCGTTCATTTCAGCCCCTAAACACTTTGTTGCCGGGAAGTTCAAGTTGATAAAATATAGCACTCAATTCAGATTAACTCTTACACCTTGTTTCTCGTATTCAAATCTTGCTTGTGAAATAGGATCTCCAAAAGAAATTGCGATTAATTGCGAAAAAGACTATTGTATCTACACTGAAGCCAGGAGATACTGAAGTATAAGGGTTGTGCAGTCATCTATTACTATTAACTACTTAGCGGTATATGCGTTGCCGTGTGAATGGATTTCTTGTCCATCACCTGATTGTCTGGTCACTGCAGATGCCACCATCGCATGAGTACTGCTGTGCTGTGTCAGACAATACAATCATACATTTGATGAAAATTGGTTCCCGTTCCGAAAATCTGGTGCCATCGCTGATTTTCCGCGATTCCTTCATATGCTTTTCACCACTATTTTGTGATCTCGTCGGAAGGTCCAGACCTGTCATTCTTAATCGCTGATGTTTGATATTTACGACAACAAACCTATGACACCCCTGCACCCCAGCATGTCGAGAAAGGGGGACTGCTTTGGCGCCAATACGAAGATACGACCAACCACTGCCCTAACATGTAATGCTGTCATGAACCATAGCCTGGGAAGCTGACCCACACATGTCAGACACACTGGGCAAATGTGTATTCTTATGAATTAATGTCTTCCTTTGTACAGGGGAAAGGGTCTAAGATTTAATGCGTATGCAGACTTAAAAGACTTATTTTTGTTGTCGCAACCCCGTAATTTGCCTGAAACATTTTTGAAACTATGTTGATGATTATCAATTTGAATTGTATGTGTAATCTATTTTAACATGGAAAGTAATTTATCCTTTTAAACTGTAATGTATATATTTGTATTGCATGATGTTCATTGCATTATGAAGATGAAGCAATTTTAAGATGGAGGTCGTTGCCAGTAGGTTTACAAACTGACCACGGAAGGATAACAATATATGGATGAACAACTTCGGATGAACGACGTTTCGGTGTAGGTTCTAACACCGCTGTCAAGCAACTTCTAAATGCCTCTCAAACAAGTTCAATTGAACAAGCGGGATAAATTATTCAATGACGCGTTGTTGTGCAGGAATCGAATAAGTTACAACACATGTATGTCCAAAGTGATGAAACACATAAATACCTTGGTTTCAGTGAAACCTTGTCGTTTGAAGTCATTAAGTAATGGAGGGAAGTACACCAATACAGCAAAAAGTGGTGACCACAATATTATAAAGGAAAGTTAAAATGAATAAGTGCTAGAAATACACAGTTTGGGAGTATAAGAAAAACTGCTTATTATGAATGGATCGTATTCTCAATAGCATAAATGTGGTTTAAACACAAGTAAATATGCATAATACCACACAAATATGAGTATTACCTCACAAATACACTAGATATGATATTATAGTATAGTATTAACAGTGTTATAGTTTTTATAGTAAACGTTCAAGGTTACCTGTGTTACACACCTGCACGCCTCCGCGGGTGGTCCTACCTGTTGTCTTTGTCGTGGTGATCACAGCACGTCTTCTGTTATACAATCCCTCGTCAGATAAAATATGTTATGTGTTATAGAGATTATCCGCCCATGCATAACTTCCCTATTACTTTTTATAAAAGGCGGTGTAGGTGAGATGTTTGTCACTAATCTCAAGGTCAAAGGATCACCATGCATCAGGCGTCTTTAGTTGTTTTTGTGCTTGTTGGTATGTATTGTGTATCATCCTGATTATACGTGAATCAGAATACAAACTGAAAGTAGAAACAAATGAAAGAATATGTGCATGTACATGGTGGCTAGATTAACCAAATAAGAAATAGCAATTCGATGGTGATATCGATGGATTTGACATTGGTATGATAATTGTGTTTTGTTCCTTAAATGATTCGGCGAATGTTTTCACAACCTAGTAACGTTTTGGTTTCGCTTGTTATTGTTTGGTCAAATCCAACTTTCATGTGTACTTTTTTTTGTGTCCGGCCCACAACTGGTTATTTTACAAGTATATTTGTAATTGCTTGTGTGACAATGTATCTGAGAATGAATATGAATGAACTGTGATAATTCAATTTATTTGAATGTGGATATATCAGAATTTAATTGAATTGCTGAAATATTAACTATATTTAATAGGTGTTAATTAATACTCAAACAGATCATTGTCTTAATCCTTTTTAAAAAGAAATCATACGTCATGACAGAAACTTTTTTGTGATGTTTGCAGTGATATGTGCCGTGTCTTACGCGCATCATCATCACCACCATCACCACCGGCATCACAAGCACCATCATATGCGACATCATGGTCATCACCATCATCACCACCGCCATCGTCATGGTCATCACCACCACGGGCACCATCATCACCATGGTCACCATCACCACGGGCATCATCACCATGGTCATCATCACCATGGTCACCATCATCACGGCCACAGACATGGGCATGGACATCATCACCACCATCATCATCACCACCATCACCATAGTAGTGGCAGTAGTGGCAGCAGTGGCAGCAGTGGCAGCAGTGGAAGCAGCGGAAGCAGTGGCAGTAGCGGAAGTAGTAGCAGTGGCAGCAGTGGAAGTAGTGGTAGCAGCAGTAGCAGCAGTAGTGATAGCTCTTACAGCAGCAGTAGCAGCGGCAGCAGCGAATACAGCAGCGGAAGCAGTGGAAGCGACTACTCTAGCGGCAGCGGAAGCAGTGGAAGCAGCTACTCAAGCGGCAGTGACAGCAGCTATTCCAGCGGCAGCGGAAGCAGTGGCAGCTACAGTTCTGGGTCAGGATCTTCGGGATCTTCCTCTGGGTCATCCGGTTCCTCAGGATCTTCGGAATATGTTGTGGTCGAAGATTAGAGCGGTTGCTCTTCATGTCGGTGTAATCTGCAATATGTAGTGCTTTCTTCACGTCACTGTTTACAAGTCCGTCATCTGTACTTTCGGCTGTTAAAAAATGTGTCTTTGGATGCAGATATGCTTACGGGTTCAAATTCAGAGACAAAATGAGACAAGAAGATTCCCTGTACGTCTTGAGATGTATAGTTATATTGATCATTTGCATATTAAATAAAAAGGAAGTTAAAAGGACATTTAAGGGACAAATAAATAATAAATAAAAGAACTAATATGCACGATGTGTCATTCATTGACAGTTGATAAGTGATTGCTGAGAGATTTTTCCATCTCCCACTTTTCTAATATATCTGGATTGCTACTTAATTGTTGCCATCAAACAACATCTACCTGTTGAATATGTGTTGTGATTGTGTATGATTGTTATGACTGTGAACCGTGAAAGTTGTTCATGTATTAGCATCTCCACCTCTTTGTTGAACTGTGATTTGCTTTGCTCAAATGTATCTCTCTATTCTTAACTAAATGTAGACTGTTATCATTGTAATCTGTTATAGAACTGTTATGACGCATTATTTGTTAACTTGCCTCAACTATGAGAATAAAATCCTTACACTACCAAAAGATGTTTTCTATATTAACATGGAAGTCATCCGTGAAGATCTGTGGACAGACTCTCTGACTTGGTTGACGCATGTCATCGTATCCCAACTGCGTAGATTGATGCTCATGATGTTAATCACTAGATTGTCTGGTCCAAAGTCGATTATTTACAGACAAACGTGATGTAACTTGAATATTGTTAAGTGTGGCGTTAAACAATAACCCAAGCCCCAAGTACTTATATAGAAGCCCAAGCTCTGTGGCAAACAAAGAAGGTTGATTTATCCACTCCGCGACAAAAGTCGTGTTTCGAGTCTCTGCTATAGAAATTTTGCATATCATTTAATGTATGAATGAAAGATGTTGCCATACTTTTATCAAACTATATCGAAAACTAGTTAGAGAATTAATTAATGATAAAATAAATCGTTGATTTATGAACATCAAAGATGGTCGTAATGGTATATTTCCTTTTAGTGGTAAAACAGTTTAACTGTAAAACATTCAAATATTACACGCGGGCCGTTAGGACAGGTGCAAGATAACCTGTTTCGCAAATACCAAGGCAACATGACGTACATGAAACTAGCAAGTCCGCGCTGGTTTAACACTGTTCTTGTTGGACGTTTTTCATTTGACATCGTTTGTCTCTGAATCACAACAAAAAATTGACACAGCGAGATAACTATCAAGGAGTGAGTGAGTGAGTTAAGTTTTACGCCGCACTCGGCAATATTCCAGCTATATGGCGGCGGTCTGTAAATAATCGAGTCTGGACCAGACAATCCAGTGATCAACAGCATGAGCATCGATCTGCGCAATTGGGAACCGATGACATGTGTCAACCAAGTCAGCGAGCCTGACCACCCAATCCCGTTAGTCGCCTCTTACGACAAGCATGGGTTTCTGAATATCGATATTCTAACCCGGACCTTCACGGGTAAACTATCAAGGAGCAAGTGTGATACGAGCCCGCTGTGTATCGCGAGGAGAGACTATGGTCACTTTGACCGTTCAGTTAGTGAGTGAGTATGGATTTACGCCATTTTTAGCAATATTCCAGCAATATCAGGCTTCACATTTTGTGGCCACCTTGGGAATCGAGTCTGAGTCCTCGGCGTGTCGAGCGAACGCTTTAACCGCTAGGCTATCCCACTTCCCCAAACTCAACGTTGACCTGATGATAGGGGGAAGAAATAGTCTTGACGTCTTCATTAGTCTCCATATTCCTCCAGCTTCTTCGCGTCCAAAACTTAATTAAGAAAATAGCCAATTTTTTTATCGTAACAAAATATATCAGATGTGTTATAGAGGTTGTAGGAATTGTGTTTGCATGATTTCAACATGGGCAAGTCTTCAACTAAAGCCAGTAACCGAATAGAAGACCAGTAAAGGAAAGTGCGAAGCAAAACAGGAAGTCCTCTGTGATATTCTCTTGAAGTTCTTAAAATCAGCGTTTTCATTCCAGTTGTACTTGATCAGGTCTTAAACCCAAACTAAATTCAAAACTTAAGAAATCTGACGAAAGGCTAGTTATCAATGTTTCGGAAATTCCCCATAATTATCTGTCAACGCGTACGGTTTCGGTGACTGCAAACTCTGTCATTTCCGGTGGTGGCTAGTGGGTAAGCGTTCGCACGTTACGCCGAGAACCCGGGTTCGATTCCCCACACGGGTACAATGTATGAAGCCCATTTCTGGTGTCCCCCGCCGTGACATTGCTGGAATGTTGCTAAAGCGGCATAAAACTAAACTCACTCACTCATTAACATCTTAGATGCGACCAGTACATGATATATTGGCAACACTGTGTGTTACTTTATATGGACAGAGATGCCTTGTTGTGCTTATGCTGATTGCATTTGGGCAATAAGTTTTTGAAGTTTTGTTAATATTTGACAGTAATAAACCACCCATAAACACATGCGTATAATGTGGAGGGAAACATTCTGTGGATTCTGCTGGTAGTAATGTTGTTTGATCGGCATTCTAGAAGTTGGTGAGTCAACAAATGGAACATACATCTTTATGGATGACAACTTCTGGTTTATTGCGTTAAGCGACGTTTCGATGTAGATTCTTACATCGTTATCAAGCTAAAAGTGAGTACAACCAAATGGTGTCTTACGATTATGCAAAGGGTATACTTTTCTTAGCATTTGGTGAGTATCAGTTCACTAGCATTTCGCTAGCGACCCGTGAAGATCGGTCTTCAGCAACCGTGAAGATCGGTTAGAATTGGTCGTCAGCAACCCAGACTCACTTGTTTGAAACATGTCATCGTATCCCAACTTCGTGGATCAATGCTCATGCTGTTAATCACTGGATTGTCTGGTATAAACTAGATTATTCACAGACCGCCGCCATATAGCTGGAATATTGCTGAGTGCGACGTTAAACAACAAACAAACAAATAAAAACAACAGCATAAAGAATGTAGAATAAAAAAAATAAACAAATACCATTGTAGTACATGTACTTGCATGACGTCATGCACAACATCGCTGCTATGGTAATCCGTGCAACATCACAGACTTCAATGTCCGGCCACCAGAGAACACCTGCTGAGATTTGACTTACGTAATACAAGAGTCACGACGTATTACGCAAATTGGTTGCATAACTAAATAGTTGTCATTTTTTTTGAAAGAGTATATAAAAGACTTGAAGAAAAAGTACAGTCATCAGTAGCTCGACATTTGCTTTTGATACCAAACATCACCTTCTTTGTTCACAATGGGAAGATTGACATTGATGCTTCTCCTGCTCATCGGTAAGTAGTACTTATTTGTAATCAGTAAGTATACTCAGCATCATTAATAAAGGGTCACCTTGCTATATAGGAGTGTGTTATGTTTTACGCCGCGTAAAGCAATAATCCAGCAATATCACGACGGGGCACACCAGAAATGGGCTTCACACATTGTCCCCAGCGTGACGAGCGAACGCTTTAACCATTAGACTTCCCCAACGTCCCTGCTATGTAGAGATGATAACTAGATCCAATGGCAACGAGAGTATGAATATTTTGACAATGTGATTAACATTTGAAAAACATGGTGGTAATTCTTAGGCCACACTGGTAGGATGCTTTCATGAACTTGAAAAACTGGTATCTATAAAAATAGCAATGGATAGTACATGATAGAAAGCGATGGAAAATGCTTCAGCGTGATTGAAAGTGATGGAAAAAATACCATCGACGAAAAAGAAACGCAAAACCAGTAGTTCAGCCCATGCTTAGGAAATTCATGGCAAGTAATAGTCAATGTGGGTGCAACATTGTTCATTCCTATTGCAAAGGATCTTCACTCTGAATTTCTATGTTATTCTTGGATAATGACGCTGGGTGTATTGACAGGTATTAGAATAATATCGATACTGTTGAGATAAAGTGATTGTTAACGTCGCGTTCGCGATTGTTTTACTCAAATAGCGACATGCATGCTGGTGGATGTGTTGGTGTGGGTAATTCAAGCTATATACTGCCAGCCACAAAATTACATAGGCATCTCACTCAGGTATAACAAACGTGATCATTCGTCACCACTCGCCCCTTTCCGTAACCTGCAAGAAGCTATTCGGCCATTCGTGACCAACTCGTGTTATTCCGGGACAAGCCGAATAGAGTTTACGGAAAGGGGCGAGTGGTGGCGAATGGGGCCGTTGGTTTTGATATGGTAATTCCTCCGAAAGCTCATTGAGGGGAGGACCTCAGTTGTTTAATATAAAATAATAAAATTTACCTGACTTTCTTGATTCCAAACACGAAAATAAGTACAATGTGTTTTCTTTTGAAGAATATTTTTCTTTCTTTTTCAGTGATAACATCCATTGTCCTTGCACACGAGCATCACCGTCGTCATCGTCACCACAGACATCGTCACCACCGCCACCATCACCACAAACGTCATCACCACCATCATCATCATCACCACTACCACAGCAGCGGCAGTAAGGGCAGCAGTGGCAGCAGTGGTAGCAGCAGCAGCGAGAGCGAGAGTGAGAGCGAGAGTAGCAGCAGCAGCGAGGAGATCATTGTCCACCATCATCACTCTTCTCCACCCTCTTCCTCATCTTCTTCCGGTTCATCATCTGAGTCGTCTTGTGGATGCGGTGGGTCTTCAGAATCTTCCGAGTCGTCATCAGAGGACTACCCGGTCCCTCTCCCCATTCCCATCTCCCAAGGCGGCAGCAGTAGTGGCAGTCACTCCAACTTCCTTCCCATCGTTCTGACAACAGCTGGATAAATATTGACCGGAAGTTCATGTTTGAGCATTGCAGTTTCATACTTGCAGTGGGGACACCGATAGCAACAGCTATTTAGATCTTCATGGTTTATTTGTACAAGTAATGGTCCACTGTTGTTTCGGGTCATGTTTTTTATGGGATAAAAAAGATTTCTAAGCAACTGCATTGAGTGGTTTATGATAAAAGTTCACATGTACATATTACACTTATGATGGCACATTTAACTCTTTGCTCAGTAAAACTAGTTTTATTCAATCGGTTTAAATTAACGTATGCTGTAAAACTTTCTGAGAAAATGAATTAGAAGATCGTCAAAGGAAACGAACGAAGAACAAAACAGTTTGTCGATTGTATTTACAACTTATTCGTAAGAACAACATTGTAATTTCTTAAAATGTACAGATCCAGAAAGATCCATCGTTGTACCTGTGTTGAAATGTTACATTAAACCTGTCTAGGTATCGAAAATGTGCCTGTGCTTCGTACATTCCAGGTTCTTTGCTGCAATATTCAGTAATTTCTTATCAATTTGTAAAATTGACTATGCTATGTCATGTTTTGTCATAAATGTAGAAATCAATAAATATGCCATTGTAACATTTAATTTCGTTTTGTGTATTTGTTACCACAAGATCACCGCAACGACTACCCCCCCCCCCACACACACACACAAACGTTAACACACACACACACACACACACACACACACACAGAGGCAGTGTGCATACACATCCGTCTGCGGTGTCATGCACCATGAAATGCTAACAAACAACAAGCAACATACATACCATACATATTGACCACAACTGAAAAGTAAAAAGTAAAGTAGAAATAATATTTATTGTCCAAAACAACAACTCCCAGTACTGTGTTTGTATATATTGCCAAAAGAATATTCCTTTCAGATTGAATCTTCAGTGGGAGCATTGCCGTTTTCCTGCAGGGGGAAGAACAGGGCAGCGTGAGAGGGCCATTGAAGCGATTGGGTTGAATTTTGGCTATGGGCTGACCGCTCTTTACGGGGGCGGTGGGGTAGCCTAGTGGTTAAAGCGTTCGTTCGTCACGTTCGATTCCCCACATGGGTACAATGTGTGAAGGCCATTTCTGGTGTCCCCAGCCATTATTTTGCTGGAATAGTGCTAAAAGCGGCCTAAACCCATATTCACTCGTCACTGTACTAAGTAGGTATCAAAGAAGTCGTACGTTATCACCTATAAGGATAAAGCCCGGTCCAATGCACAGAAATCGCTCTCGCGTACATATCCAGAATGTCACACGTGTGGCGCACACCTGCCACAGTGTTCCGCTGTTGACCCATAGAGATTGACCCGTGAAGATCCGGGTTAGCATTGATCTTCAGTAACCCATGCCATTCGTGACCAACTCGTGTTATTCCGGGATAAGCCGAAAAGCGACTCGCGCCCCACTGGAAGGATTTCATATTGGCGAAGGAACATCAGAACTAATTATAACAAGAACGACAACTCAATTCCAACAGTAATATACATTACAGAAGCACTCGAAAATATCTGCTTTAAATAAGTTAAAAGATTATAACCTCTAAAAATGAATAATAATAATGATGATGATTTGAGTTCTATCATGAATTAGTGTACACGGTGTGTACCAGTTGTCTGAACTTGCATGTAACCCTGCTGCCATACCCTTGGTGGAATTTATTATGAATAAGCTGACAAATATGAAACATCAGACTTAAATATGCCCAGTGAAGTGAAATGTAAGCACAGTAACTAAGTTTAAAGTTGATTAGTTATATATTGTTTGCAGCTCATGGCTATTTATAATCACATTAACTAAAAATGTCGTAAGCGTGCGTAGAATCTCTAAAACATGCCCACAAATCGCCCGAGAAACCACTCAGTTGCAGGTGAGGTGAGGTGAAATTGGGTTTAACATCGTGCTTGAGAATATTTCGCTCATATGACGACGTGCATGCGTGTGTATGTGTATGTATGTGTATGTGGGGCTGCTTGTACTAGCCCAGACTTAAGCTGGTTTTATAGTGCTAGCCCACTGAGATACCATTCCGCAGTTACGCAGACACATTATACTAACTCCGAGCCGACCAGTCCTTTGCTGTACCCATTAATGCCGAGCGCCAGGCAGGGACCAACAAGTACCATATTTTAACGTCATGTGGTTTGACGCGGTCGGGGATAGAACCCGGGGACCTTCCGCTCTCCAGGCGGACGCTCTAACCACTACACCACGGAGGCGGTCCACTCAATTGGAAATAGGAGAGCTAAAGAGAGAGTTATGTAAACAAACGCACGTGATTGTATTTGAATCTCTCACCGTCGATGGCATTATGCTTATTAAAAACTTCACACGAGGCAACACAATTCTGTTAGCTACGTTCTTTGTACTTTCAATATGACGATATATATTTTTCATGAATTTCTAAACAATGACATAATACAATAAACGATTTAAGTATTCGGGATTATATTTATCAAAGCACCACAATCATTTCGCGCGTTCTGATTGGTTTGTCGTATTTTCGCACATAACAAGCATCGAGACGGGGACGAGTCTTCTTAGAGGTTACGGAAAGGGGCGAGTGGTGACGAATGTAGCCCATGCTTGTCGTGAGCCGCGACTAACGGGATCGGGTGGTCAGGCACGCTGACTTGGTTGACACATGTCATCGTATCCTATTTGCGAAGGTCGATGCATGCTCACGATGTTGATCACTGGATTGTTTGGTCCAGATTCGATTATTTACAGACCGCCGCCATGCATATAGCAGGAATATTGCTGAGTGCGGCGTTAAACAACAAACCAACCAACATAGAGATTGTTCTTTCTGCTCCACTGATACCAACTCAAATCATGACTGAAAATGGACGCAGAAAGGTTTGACGTTCAATCATACACGCAGTTTTGCAGACCTACCGCTAGCATGAGTCTTGATTATTAGTTCAGTTTTTTATGTAGTCGTCAAATCAACTAAACATAACAATACCTGAAGGTATTTTACTTGTACATCTTGAAATGCGTATTCGCATTTTATAAACATTTGACAAAATGGCCACAAAATACGACCTATTTGTTCTTGACACTTTGGCATGAGACACGGAGCAATAATATGGTTCGAATCTCATTAGACGGGTTTTGACTGCCAAAATCGTTTTCTTGTAATTCATTTCGAGTTACAGTTGATTATGATATCATTTTCAATGTTTTTCGGCGTAGTTCTGTGTACACAAGAACAAGTGATAAGTCTTAGTTTATTATTGTACGGCCCGTGTATCACATGAAAATATACTGAACAAACAAAGTTAAGGAACGTAATTATTTTAGTTGACATATTTGTTTACAAGATCGGCAACATTTCATAAAATTTTTAAAAAAAATTCACAAGCCTGTTTTTTGTTTGCTCAGTACACAATGACATTGTTATGGTCAGTTAGATTTTTATGTTCTTTGTTATAATTTCAATAAATTTATGATTATTTCTAAAATAATTTTTGCAGTTTGAGGAAAACGCTGCGCAAAACTGATTATACTCTTGATGCGACAAAACTAAGGCTGGAGACGGTTGACTGGAATAAACGGCGGAAACCAAACTCAATCACTCACTCACAATATTCAATTTAAGTTATTTTCACATAACTGGATTGTTTGGAACGACAATGTCATGTGATAGGTGTTTTATTTCTTACCATCGACACTCCACAGAGGGAATGTCAGGGAAATGAAGGTCTTCATCTAATCTTGGTAAAACAGTTACACATTTTAAATTGCGTTGCGAGTTCTAAATGTATACAAAATGTTAATACTGACGTTCTTAAAAGAAAATAATGTAAAGAGCTTGATGAAGGCGCCGATGTTACCATTAATATAACAAACTGTGTTTAGTGCATTTATTTGTTTACAAGATTTATTTGCCTAAAATAAGCATATACACATAGTGAGTGAGTGAGTTTGGTTTTACGCCGCTTTTAGCAATATTCCAGCAAATATCACGGCGGGGGACACCAGAAATGGGATTCACACATTGTACCCATGTGTGGAATCGAACCTGGTTCTTCGGCGTGACGAGAGAACGCTTTAACCACTTGGCTACCCCACCGGTAAACACAGTTAGCTGAGTATTCGAAATTGACCAGACATTTATAACATAATTGTGGAATGAAAGCAATTGAGGAAAGGAATCTTTAACGGAAGTTTGTTAGGTTGGCCCAGGAATGCCCACTGCGATGCAGCTGCGAGATTCGCAGCTGGCCAAGGAAGCAACGATGTTGTCTAACCAGACAATACTTCCCAGTGCCTGGCATATTTACCCCAGACGGTCATTATATAAACCTTTCCATTCGTCTTCAACATCAAGTATTCAACAACATCGTTCAGAATGTACAAGCTTCTACAAGTTCTTCTCCTTGGTAAGTTGTGGTATATTTTGTTAAATTGATAGATAAATTGAGTTTTAATTGAAATTAAATGCAAGTGATTGAGTGAGTGAGTGAGTATGATTTTACACCGCTTTTAGCAATATTCCAGCAATATCACGGCGGGGGACACCAGAAATGGGCTTCACACATTGTACCCATGTGGGAAATCGAACCCGGTTCTTCGGCATGGCGAGCTGGCGCTTTAACCACTCCGCCCCGCAATACCCTTCAAAGCGACCTTAAACCGTGAAAGGTCACTCACTCACTTACCGACAGATTGATCTGGAAAACGTTGAGAGACACATTTTAAAAGAAGCAGTCATGTCTCTTATGCTTACTGTGTCTATATTATGGGAAGAATGTATTATATTATGAAGATCTGAGGTTGTTTGTTCACATATAACCTTAAGGTATTAACAATACATCATCTGATTCCAGCCGTCCTGCTGACCGTGTGTCTGTCATCTTGGAATGAGTACGGTGACGGGTCAAGTCCACAGACGTATGAAGTCCGCTATGATGAACCTCCACAGGCATTCCACCATCCATCATCAGGTTGCTAAGCAACGACTAGTGTTCATGAA